AAACAATTTATCGAATAAAATTAGATCCATTTCAAAAAAAAATTTGAAACAAATATTATGGTGTTTAAATTTTTTTTTGTTTAAACAAATACCCGCGAAGATCCAGATATCCGTAAATTTCTAGAAAAAATCCAGATATCCATCAAAAACAAATCGAATCACAAATATTACATTTTTTCCGGATATTCGATCCGCGTCTAGGCCTACCTTTCATCTCTTTGATATAAAACTTCCTTTTCGATATCTCTATTTCTCTCAGTGAATCAACTTTCTTAGTCTTTCTCATGTTCTTGCTTTTTTTTTTGTGGTTCTCTTGTAACAAACTTCAACAGCTTTTATAATCGAAGAAGAAATCGTGTAATCGACTTGGTTTCCCTTTTATACTAGTTCAATGAACGGTTTTGCCTTCTCTTCGGTCCAACTGGTGTTTGGGTTTTTCTGAATAAAATAAGATAACAACAAGTAAATAACACGCCAAAAGTTTAAATTGTAATATGTTGACTTTGAAATTATAATTTTGAAAATTTTACCTTATAATTTAGGTAAATTTAATAACGCGCCAAAATTAGTTAATAATATAAATAAATGATACACCAAATTGTTTATTGACAATCATAAATAACGCGCCAAAACTTTTAACTGTAATATATTGACTTTGATGTTATATAAATTGTCAATTTCTTGCCTAAAAACATAGGATTAAATTTTATTATTTCCTTAAAGTTTTGATATTATATTGTTGGTAATATAATATTTGAAAATTTTGTATATAAATACATGGACTCTTCTGGGAAATAAATCATGGTCCAAAATCATGGAACAATGAATGTTAGCATTTTTCCTTCTGATTTTTATAAGATTTATGTCCTCTTTTATTTCTTTCAAAATAAAATATAAGCACTAATCTTAGTTTCTTTGCAAATATTTACGCTTAGTTTTTCTACCCACTTAAGTCACATTTCACTCAAAATTAGTCTTGTATCTGACATTTTTGTACATCAAGAAAATACCCAAGGTATGTACAGTGTCTTTTAGAAGCCGAGGTAATTTTGATAACCTACTTGAAACATCACGAGATATATATTGTTCAAAAAAAAAAAACATTTGCTTATATATATGTTGAGATTTTTTGGCTCTTGATGTAGTTTTTCAACGACGAAAATAAGACGTATCAAGAACCAAAAAATTTCAACATATATATAACTATATAAGCATATGTTGAAAAAACTAATCTCGTGATGTCTCAAGTAGGTTATCAAAAAATTTCAACATATATATATATAAGCACACTGTTGGAGAAAATAATTTTGTGATGTATCATATAAGCACACAGTTTTTGATTACTTCGGTTTCTCAAAGACATTGAACATACACTATATATGTATTAAAGTTATTCTGAGAAGATTGTTATAATAAACGATTTCTATTGGAAAGATTCATAATATCAAAGGTTTGACGTTAAAAACCAAATATAGTTCCACTTTTTTATTAGATTCTATTTAATAATGTTTCCAAAAGTATAACAAATAATACTCACCACCTCTCTTTGTAGTTGTGTTGGGATAATTATGTATCAATTCGAAAACTTGATAAGAGTTTATCATGGAAAATAACATTGTTCCAGTTTGTTTAAGTGTGGTATTCAAAATTTTCAAAATTATTTTCATCAGAAAGATAATATCAAATCTGTAAATAAAAGTTAAAAATTAATCATATATATAATTTGTAGGTAAGAAACTGAGAATTTATAAAGTCAAGGTCAACATATTACAATTTCAAATTTTAGCGCGTTATTTATGTTTGTTAATAAATCATTTGGCGCGTCATTTATTTATATTATTAAGTTAATTTGGTGCGTTATTTATTTCAGCTAAACTATAAGGTAACAAATTAAGAATTTATAAAGTAAAAGTGAATATATGACAATTTAAAATTTTTGGCGCGTTATTTATGTTTGTTAATAAATAATTTGACGCATCATT